ATTTCTATGCCGGTACGATGTACACAAACAAATTAGCTTAAAATATCAAATACTAGTACAGTAGATACTTAGCGATGCAAATTATACATAAGAGCAATTACAATGTCTATTGACTACGAAAGAATTGTACTCATACAAAAAACTAATAATTAAACTTTGATATTTTATGGATGCGAAATTGTTCACTGGAGATCATAATTATATTCTTTTACATCGACTGACTATTTCAGCATAAAACTCATCAATTAAATAAACTCAAATGAAATAACATAATGATTATTCTTGGAACTTTTATACACAATCATAAATATCAATATCTAAAAACTAGATGTCAGTAAATCATTAAACAATAATCTTTTGTTATTCTCGACCTATTAGCTTTTATTATTTAGTGACATCTTTTATTGAACTTATATTATTGGTTAACTAATCAACATGTATAAAGCTAGAATGCTTCAGTAAATAACCGATTCGTTTCGTTTCTACTAGTTCCTTGTCGTTGCGTATTGCTGCAATTATATGTAATATAAGGAAAATATTTATTGATTTTTTCTTTTTTTATTGTACAAAAATAGTTTCGCAATGAGTTCTCGTAAGCAACGTCTCGATGTTGGTTCGTCTTCATCATCTTCTGAACTAAATAAACCACGAAAACGTCGTTTTGATGATGTAGTTGAAACAGATTATTTCAATAATAGTAATAAATCAAAAGATTCTAATAAAATATCTCAATTAAATGAAACATCAAATTCAAATATTAATCGTTTTACAATGCAACCTTATTCTCAACAATATCATGAATTATATAAAAAACGACGACAATTACCCGTTTGGGAATATAAAGAAGCATTTATGAGTACACTTCAAAAAAATCAAGTAACTGTTCTAGTTGGTGAAACTGGTTCAGGTAAAACAACACAAATTCCTCAATGGTGTGTTGATTTTGCACTTTCATTACAAATTTCAAATGGACAAAAACGTCGTGGTGTTGCATGTACACAACCACGTCGTGTTGCTGCTATGTCTGTTGCACAACGTGTTGCAAATGAAATCGATGTTGCACTTGGACAAGAAGTTGGTTATTCAATTCGATTTGAAGATTGTTCATCACCTAAAACTGTTTTAAAATATATGACTGATGGTATGTTATTACGCGAAGCTATGTCTGATCCATTACTTGAATCTTATGTATGTGTATTATTGGATGAAGCGCATGAACGTACATTAGCAACTGATATTTTAATGGGTCTTTTAAAAGAAGTTGCTAAACAAAGATCTGATTTAAAAATAATTGGTAAATAGAATATTTATATATAGAAAAATATTTATGGAAGAATTTTATTTTATTTTATTTTAGTTATGTCGGCAACACTTGATGCTGGTAAATTTCAAGATTATTTTGATAAAGCACCATTATTAACTATTCCTGGTCGAACATTTCCTGTTGAAATTTTTTATACACCTGAACCTGAACGTGATTATTTAGAAGCAGCTATTCGTACTACTGTACAAATTCATATGAGTGAAGAACAAGAAGGTATGAAATTAAACTTAAAAGTTTAGAAATGAAATATTTTTAATTTCCTTTGTTACTGATAATAACTAGAACTAATTAGAGAAAAGATTTGAATAGTTGAAATAATTTCCTATCAAGAAAAGTACTTGTTCAATTTCCATTAAGAGATTTGGGTAAAATGTCTCTGGATTTCATTAAAAACATTTTACAAACAAGTTCAACTAATAGAAAAACTATTTCTGAACAAAAGAAAATGTCGCCGAGCTATCTTCAATGAACTGCATTTATTCTATGAAAGGTTTCAAAGTGTAAAACATAGTAAATTCATAAAAACAGTCGTTTAGATCTATCGTACAATGATTGTCGTTCGCTGAAGATAACTCGGAGACATCTTATTTTGTTCAGAAATGTTTTCTCTAGTAGTTGAACTTGTTTGTAAAATGTTTTTCATAAAATTCAGAGATCTTTCACTCAAATCTATTAATGAAAATTGGACAAGTACTTTTCTCTGATTTGTTTTAATTGTTAGAAAAAAATTTAAAATATTTCATTTCTAAAATTTTTAACTTCCATCTTAATTAATTTTGAATTGATCAAATTAATTTTTCCTTTCATTTTTTGTAATTGTAGGCGATATTCTTCTTTTTCTCACTGGTCAAGAAGAAATTGAAGATGCATGTAAACGATTACAACGTGAAGTTGAAGGTTTAGGACCTGAAGCTGGTGAACTTAAATGCATTCCACTTTATTCAACTTTACCACCTAATTTACAACAACGTATATTTGAACCAGCACCACCAAATAAACCTAATGGTGCTATTGGTCGTAAAGTTGTTGTATCAACAAATATTGCTGAAACATCATTAACTATTGATGGTGTTGTTTTTGTTATTGATCCTGGTTTTTCCAAACAAAAAGTTTATAATCCACGTATACGAGTTGAATCACTCCTTGTTACACCAATATCAAAAGCTAGTGCACAACAACGAGCTGGTCGTGCTGGACGTACTCGTCCAGGAAAATGTTTTCGTCTTTATACAGGTAGAAAAATTATTTAATGAATACATGCAAAAAAATTTTTGAAATAATATTGCTTGATTTTTCATTAACTAAAGCATTGTTTGAAACAAAATCATATCTTTTAACAATACGTTCGGAAATAAAATTCTATTTTTCAGTATTGAGTAAATTCTCGAAACGTACTAAAATTGTGCTCTGTAAATATAGCTTGAATTGATTGCTCTATCATTATAGGCCGTTAAAAAAAAACACTTCCACAACCATTGGTCCTAAAACCACGGTTTTCTAGAAATCCGACTTTTGAGTATTTTTGACAAGTGTCCGCTAGACAAAAGAAAGAGCACGTGGAGAAATCCTTAAGAATCAAAGGACAACTTGATACACTCAGCTATTTTCAAGATAGTTTTCTCATGTTACACGTCTATTAATTAATGAATCTAATGAAAAAAAGAAGAACAATAAAATACAAGAGAACGTAAAGGAGATAATCCAAAACTATTGAGAAATCCGTTTTTCCTACGGTAGTCATTGCAAATTGTTTTACAGAATACATTTTACTGTCGTTTAAAGATTTGTTTTGAACTCGGACTTTGTGTATAATATAGAACTCAATGAGTTAATAAAAACTCCACAAAGATAAGAGCATCTAAGGATTCGCTGCAGAGTTGTAGTCGTTCTACTGAAATTTTAGTCTATTACACGATATGTACAAAAGAATTAAATAATGATATTGTGATCTGAACTTTTGCCTGTAGATTGTAACTAGAAAGTTTTGAAAATTTCAGCTGAAAAGGATGTTCTCTTCACAAAATATTGAATTCTCAAAAAATTAAAACTCTCGAATATGAGTAATTATTGAAAATTCAATATCTTGTAAACAGAACGTTCTTTTAGGCTGAAATTTTCAAGACATTCTAGTTACAAGCGGGCCTATCTATGAACAACATTCTACTAAAACGACTCTACCCGTTTTGGGAAGACCTAGGCGCCCTTATCCTTTCGAAGATTTTATTGCATGATTGCATAGAGTCGGAATTCAAAAGTATATTTCAATTTGGGAAGGTTTCCGCATCAGAAACAAGACGTGATTGAACATTTTTTTGGAAATGCAGTTGTTAAGCAGCGTTCAATGTTGATTCTTAATGGAAGTTTTTCTTTTTTTCTAGAATATGCTTTAGGCAATGAAAAAATGAAACGATATATATATTTCCTGAAACTTTTATATCACCCAATTTTTTTTTTTTGTTTTTCTATTGATTGAAATTCTGTTATTATTATTTTTAGAAAAAGCTTATAAAACTGAAATGCATGAAAATACATATCCAGAAATTCTTCGATCAAATTTAGGCAGTGTTGTATTACAATTAAAAAAATTAGGTATTGATGATCTTGTTCATTTTGATTTTATGGATCCACCAGCACCTGAAACATTAATGCGTGCATTAGAATTATTAAATTATTTAGCTGCTATTGATGATGAAGGTGATTTAACTGAATTAGGTTCAATGATGGCTGAATTTCCACTTGATCCACAATTAGCTAAAATGGTTATAGCATCATGTGATTATTCATGTTCAAATGAAATTTTATCTTTAACTGCAATGCTTTCTGTACCACAATGTTTTGTTCGACCAAATGACGTACGTAAACAAGCTGATGAAGCCAAAGCACGTTTTGCTCATATTGATGGTGATCATTTAACAATGTTAAATGTTTATCATGCATTTAAACAAAATCATGAAGATAATCATTGGTGTTATGCTAATTTTGTTAATTATCGTTCATTAAAATCTGCAGATAATGTTCGAACACAACTTGGACGTATTATGGATCGGTGAGTCTATTTTGTATTTACTATTGATGTTTGTTTTCTTAACATGTCATTTTTGTTTTGTTTTTTTTTTGTTAATTTAGATTTAATTTGAAACGTTCATCTACTGAATTTACTTCACCAGATTATTATATAAATATTCGTAAAGCACTTGTTAGTGGATTTTTTATGCAAGCGGCACATTTAGAAAAAACAGGACATTATTTAACAATAAAAGACAATCAAATTGTTCAATTACATCCATCAACTTGTCTAGATCATAAACCAGAATGGGTTTTATATAATGAATTTGTATTAACAACAAAAAATTATATTCGTACAGTTACAGATATAAAACCTGATTGGTTATTAACAATAGCTCCACAATATTATGAAGTACCATCATTACCTGATTGTGAAGCAAAACGACAATTAATGCGTATATACCAAAGAATGGAAAATAAACGAAATACTACTCAAAAATGATCTTTAAGATTTTGTTTCTGTTATAAATGCTTAATGTCATTTTTTTTGTGTTTTGCTATTTGTTTGTCTTTGACCTTGTGTTTTTTTTTTCTTTTGTTTTTTTGTTGTTGTAAAACATTTTTCTTTTCATCGTCTTCTTCTTCTTCTTTTTCTAGATTATGAATTAGAATGACGTGGAATTCAAGTTGTAGTATTGCATCCGATGATGAAAATTCGAGACACAGTTTCTTGTCCGATTGTGGTTCTGAATTTGACTTACGACCACCACCTCGATATCCAGCTGAAAAACGATCATATTCACCATTAAAAAAACAATCAATCAATAGAATGGAACCACCAATGACAAGATCAAGAGCAAAAGCTATTGGAAAGTTAATAATTACATCAGAGCCATTACCTAAACAACAACGGCGTCAATCAACATTACGACGTAGTATTGATGCATTTACTGGAATGACTACAACATTAACGAATAGTTTAAATAACACTTCAATTTTATTTGCAAAACAAGAACCAACAACATCGTCTAATGATAGGTAAAATATTAAAGAAAGAAAGAAAAAAAAAAATTTCTATTGATTCTTTTTTAGAGCACCGAATTTTCCATCGGATGGTGTTAATATATTAGCTGATAGATTCGAAAGTTGTAGTTTAGATGAAGGAAAATGTAAGATTTTTTTGTTTTTGAATATTTCAAAAATAAATTCAATGTTAACTTTTTTTTTTAATGAAACACGATCGAAAAGAACTGTTGAAGTATAGAGGTAGGAATTTGGACTCACTTCTGCCTCTTCCTCTCCTACAGACGTGACAGACACATCAGAGACGGCTTATCAAGAGCGCGACAGACGTCTTAGCAACACTCCCCCACTCTACGTCACAGACTATGACTAATGTAACTATAGAAATGTCACAAACCATGAGAGATGCTGTTGGTATATGATCAAAGACTGTATATTAATAAAACCTCGGTATAATATGTGAACTACGTTCTTATTGCAGTTGTAAAGGATCGAGTAAAATGATGGTGAAGAAATATATCTCCAGAATAGATAGAATAAAACAATCTCTCTGTGATTAGCAACAACAGTCATATCGTGTTTCACATTTTAGTCCCATAAAGATTATGCTAACAGCTATTTTTTTCTAGTAAACAAAAATTGTGTATGGCCAAGTCGTGAGACTAATAGTCATTATACGCGTCCAACAACTTCATCACGTCAAACGAATATATTTGGTATGAATCTATTTTCAACATTAAATAATTCCACTTTATTTGCTCAATCTTCAACAACACCGACTCTATTCGGTCAACATCAAGCTCAATTATGGTCACGTTTTCGTTTTGCTGCTTCAACTCTTCGTAATAATTTATGGCTTGAACAAACCGATTCAACTTTACAACAAGTTCCATCAAATATATTCTCAACTAATTTTAATAATAATAATTCATTTAATTTTAATAATCAATCGTCAATGTTATTATCTCCACAAACCGTACCGACTACACTTATGAATCTACAAAATAAAACATCATCCTCATTGATTGAAGAACCATTGTCATCTTCAATTTTTAGACAACGTAAAATTCCATCAACAACTGATTCTATACTCACAAAAGAAAATTTTATTGTTCAACAATCATCAATATCAAAAATTTTCTTTACATTAACAATTTTTGCCATTGGTCTTGTGCTTGGTTATTTATTAACAAATACATTACCACCTCGTCTTGTTTGGGAAATATGTATTAAATATTTCCATATTTTATGTGTTTATCTTCAAAATATAATGAAATACTTTGGATCTTTTCGATTAGCTTAATAATGTTGTATATGTCTGTTGTTTTTTTTCTTGTTAAAGTTTAATTTACGTACAGTGATATGTAATTCTTGTTGTTGTTGTTTTTGTTGTTTTCTTGTTGCAGTAGGATCATTTTAAAATAAAACATGATTTTAAAAATTGTGATAAGAAATAAAAATGAGTTCAATAACAGAGCTGGATTTTTCGATTTTTCCATTAATATTTATAAAAAACTAACTGTTATGGATCAGTGGCAGATCTAGCCGTTCGACGCTTTCGGCGATCGAACTTTCAATGCGATTACGCCACGTAAAACTTACGACGTAATTTAATCCTTCCCTAACCAACATAGAAGCCTCACAAAGATGATTCCATTCGCGCTGATCTATACTCCTTACTGCTTCAAAAAAAAGTAGCTCTCCTCACTCTGGCAGAATCCTAGATCTGCCATTGTTATGGACCTACTCCCTCTCCCTAAGTTTTCTGCATCTCATCCGAAGAGTTTTCTAGTGACACAAGCTAGGAAGAAATCGAACGATCGGTCACTGTTAAGTTGTAGAGCTAAGTTTTGTCTTCATTTTTGACACTAATTCGAACTTTCTAACATTTGAAATGGCGAAGAAATTTACGACACACGGAAATCTAAATTTTGACCCATATTCTGTCTTTATCATGTTGTTCGATGGCATAACGGATATAAAGACAATTACAGTTCGCCTCATCCTTTGTGATATGTCTCATATGGGGATAACTTAATGTGCATCGATAAGAGCTTCGATTGGCATTTAATACATTCAGGCTTTACCTCAGTTTTAATTAATAATAGGAAGACTAATTAAAAAAAAATTGTTTTGCGTTTTTCTCAAAATTGAGTTTTTTGCTAATGATTGAATTGTGAGCAAATTTTTTTTCAATATACGTCAACCTAGAGAGCTGTATTTTTCCTTCATCGATACATAACATGCATAGTCTTGTAGATGAGGAAAATGAATTTTCTAATTGGCCGTCAATTCTAAAGAAACTCTAGGTTTTCCAGAAAACTATGCCTAGGATTTCCAGTTTTTTGAGATTTCAGTGATCTTTAAAATACAACAAAGTGAAAATTAAAAAACCCTTTCCACCATCCGAAACAGTAATGAGTTCTCTTTCAAATAAAACCAACGCGAACTTCACAGTTTGAGATAAAATAGAAAAAAATTTGTACGCCTAAAAGCCCTGTTTTACAGCTTGGTCTCTCGATATCTTCTGAATGGTAAGGTATAAAAGCATGAAATTTTTTTTTACGAATGTACTTCCATGAGCCCAACATCTATGAAAAGTTCCATCAGTATCTCATGTACCCTGTCGAAGTTAGATGTTTGCGAGCAAGGGTCTCCTTAATAAAACACTTGAAAAATCACACCTAACGGCGGACACGTTTCTACAAACATATTGCAAGTTTCATAGTATACAATTTTGTTTACATTTTTTAAGTCTCTTGTTGGAAATGTAAACGTATGAAATCGACAGATTCTTTTATATACAGAGCTTATCAAAATTATAGACCCCCTTTGTCATTGGATTTTTTCTATGGAAACGAGCTGCTGAATCAAATGTAAGTAGTGATTTCGATAGCTCTCGAAGTTCTCTATCGATTGCAGTAATTGGAAAATTTTCAAGATGACTTCGCCAGCAGATTTTTTCGAAAATACGTGAGACACCCTTTTTGACTTTTGAAACGGTTTATCAGACATCATTTTCAATGTATCCATCTGATAGAGCTGAAAATTCTGAGCAAAATGAGTGGTCGCACGACTCTCCACGACTTTCCAGTGAGAAATTATAAGTATGTCAAAAGTAATAAAAAAAACGTGTCTTTAGTCGATTTTCCACAATTTTTGATGATTTTTGCGACTTTTGACATACTTATAATTTCTCACTGGAAAGTCGTGGAGAGTCGTACGACCACTCATTTTGCTCAGAATTTTCAGCTCTATCTGATGGATGCATTGAAAATGATGTCTGATAAACCGTTTCAAAAGTCAAAAAGGATGTCTCGCGCATTTCCAAAAAAATCCACTGGTGAAGTCATCTTTAAAATTTTCCAATACACTGCAATCGATAGAGAACTTCGAGAGCTAGCTACAGAAATCACTACTTACATTTGATTCAGTAGCTCGTTTTCATAGAAAAAATCCGATGACAAAGGGGGGTCTATAATTTTGACAAGCCCTATATTATTTATAACATTAAATAAATGAAAGTTCATTAGTCAATATTAGATGAGATGTTTTTTGACGAAATTAGTGCAATTTTTTTTCTGGTTCTTAAATGATGTTCTTGATCAGATATATTCAATCAAAGATTGTTATAGATAATATTTTCTTTTAAATGTTTTCGAATTAAATGAATTTTACTTTTGATTATAAAATAAAGGACAGAAATCAAAAAATCTAGCACATATTAGGCAATAACTATAGTTATACAATTATATATGACATCTCTATACATCTAAGAACTTTTTTTGTTGTTGAATTCATAACAATTTTCGGAGCTATTGAAATTTGTTTGGGAACACTTTCGTAACGGACAAGATGAGATAGAATGACGTGGAATGCCATTAGTTGTTTCCATTTCATCACAATCATGTAATAATTCAAGACTTTTAATATATCGACGTGAAAAAACATCTAAACAATATAAATAATATCAGATAAAAAAATCTCTTAATAATCTTACCAATATAAAAAGAAGCTCCATTATAAACACTAACAGCAAAAATTGAACAAAGAAATATTCCATTGATATACCTCAAAAAAAACAAAAATTCAATAGATATACATATACAATAGTGAACAAAAATCTCTACCTCACCGAATCTTAACTATTATATACACTAAAGACTTGAAAGCTTTTACATACATACTTCAGCGCGAATGTAGATCAACGGTAAAGCCGCACTACGATTGCTTAAGTACAAAGAGAATTATGATGAATTGTATCAATTTTTACTCCTAGATTTTTAACCTGAAAAATGCTGTCTACTAAAGCTTAGATTATTTTTTACCAAATACATGATTAATTCTTGATATTTTAATATACAACTGGAGCCTCATCTATGATCATTCTTTACCTAAAAGATAAATTCATTTGCTGGAAGACTGCTATCTTTGAGCTCTCTACATCAATACGATAATCATCAACATGATACTTCTTATTAGTACAAAATTCTTTTCTGAGACTTATAGGTGATAATGCTTAGCTATTGATGAAACTTCTAAAGCTTCCTTTATTAAACTATTACTGAGTTATGGTTTCCAATGGACAGCAGATAGTTTTTTTTGCAGACTAGTAGCCACAGTTTTAGAAAGAATTGTTGAACTTCAATCAAATCAATAGCGTGAATAGATGAAATGTAACATTACATAAGGAGGGACCGACTGATTCACAAAGTTCTTCCTTGTCAGAGTTATGAAGTTCAAAAGAACAATAGATGCGATTCAGTAATATCCATCATAATTCTCTTTGTCACATAAATAATCGAGGTACGTCTATGCCTCTAACCTACATTCTTGATGGAATATGCGCACATAAATTTCTATATCCCCAGCACATATGTTAGCTGAAACATGGTGTAATGAAAGTTTTATTCACTACTGTATTTCAAACAAATTTAAAATAATAAAAAAACTTTTTCTTTTTGCTCCACTTACATATTTCGATAATACCATAGACATACTGGTAAAATCGATAGAAGCATATATCCAAATTGTAAAAAGAAATAAAAAACAATTTTATATCGATTAATACCATCATTTGGTCCACCAAAACCAAATTTTTGTATAAGACGTGCAACGAAACCATCTTTATCAGCTAATAACCATGTATAAGATGTAGCCCGTAAACCACGTGCAACTTTTTCTCGACGTCCATAAACAATAAATGCATAATATAATGCTTGCCATATTAAATAAAAAACAACTGTATAAAATACAGCTGTTGTCGTATATAGAGATGAACCTATTTCAACAATAGCTGGATAATATTGACGTTGAAGATCAATAGGTAAAAGCCAACGAAGAGTAAATAATGTTAATGGTGGATACCTATAAATAAAATTAAAAGATTAAATAAATATTAAATGAATAAATTTACATATGAATAAATAAACTAGTCACTTTGTCGAGACCTATGTGTTTTTTTGACAAACATATAATTATAATTTATTTATATGAAATTTAAAAAAGCCCTTACTATGAAAAACAAGTGAATTTCTCCAAAGAACTATTGCAAAACCTAATGGACCATGACTTAATGTGTAACAAACAGTAAAAAGAATTTTTGATGATGGAAATATCCATAGATAAAGTAATGTTAAAACATTAACAAAATAACATAAATCATATACTAAAAAAACAAATAAATAAACATTTAAAATCCAACAAAATATTTATTCAAATTTTACCAAAATAATGCCAACTTTTACGTTTATAAATAAAAAATCGAAGTGTTATTAGAAATAAAGCTTGAATAGTATAAACAAGAGGTAATATATGAGGCCAACGTCCAGCTAAAAAAAAAGTAATTGGTAAATTATACAAAAAAAAAAACAAATGTTCTTCATACCAATCAACGGTGAAAAACAAGCATTAGCAACTCCAATTGAAAATGATATTTTATCTCGTGTTCGAATAAAATTTGGTTTTTTAAAGTTTTCAGACCATATATGAATATGTTGTTCTAATTGAGCTTTAAGAATCCTTTTTTGTTGTTCAAGTTCCGCTATAGTCCTTCGTAAACGTTGTCGAGGATGTTCTCGTCGTTCTTCAACTATAGAAAACAGAAAAATCTTTAAATAAATAAATTCATTTTTGTTTGTATTTTTTTTTTACTTTGATTTTCAATATTATCAATTTTATCTGAAACAGCTTCAAGAAAATCATAAAAATCAAGGTCTTCTTCTTCTTCTTCATGTAGATTTTCTTCACTACTATTTTCTCCTGTTATCATTACATTTGCAGAATCTTGTTTTAATTCATCAT